GCTAGCCCGGATCAGCTGACTCTGGATTGCAGGGCTTCGGCTGCGGGGCTGTAAAATTACAGCATTGATGGTCGAGCTCAGGCTGGGGCTCTCAGGATGCGAATGTTTACACCGCAATATTACAGCCCCGCAGCCCGAGCCAAGCTGAGTCCCCTGACCTGGGCTAGCCACAGGTGTTTAATTGCAGTGTAGACATACCTTAAGTTCCAATTAGTTATGCCTGTGCAACCTCTTTGAAGGCAAATTTGGTACTTAGCTGGCAGAACTTCCCAACCACTAACCAGAGTGAAATCCTTCCTGTTACTTTATTCCAATCCACAGGTTCTCCAGCCATCTCATTCTCTGGCCCACTCTGTACGAGAAGCCTTTAGTCCAGATCCTCAAGGTATTTAGGCACCTAACTTGGCACCTACATTCCTGCTACTTGTTCCATTGAGGACCAGATCCTCAGGAGGTGCCCTGTGGAATCAAGCATATCTTGATGTGAGGTTGCAAAGGCAGCTATAAGAATTCGGAACAAAAATAAGTTTCATCATACATTTATGCACAACGTAAGTTTGATCTGTTGTGATCAGCAACCTTTCCATGGGCACAATCTAGAAAAGAGAAAGGTGAAGGTCAGGTCTTATTACAAATCTTTCCACAAAGTTCTTGTTCAGTTAAGTGATTTTCCACAGCTGCTTATATGTCCTGCCTGGTAATCTAAGCAGTCACTTCCTGTTATTAATCATCTCTCTTTACAATAAGGTGAATAAAAAGACTAATTTATTCCTGAGCTTGGCCTCTCAACAGCCATTTTTTCCACCAGAATAAGGCCAAGTAAAAGGGGGAAATGGAATGCTGTTAAATACAAAGGTGGATGAAATGTTGAAGAGTTGAGGACCACATGTAAAAAAGGGTTGGCAGAAGTGCAAATATAAACCAGAAATATAGAGGAATGAGTGCAGATAGAGGGCACCTACAGGACAGCATGCAAGTGAAAACAGACCCGGATACATACTGACAAGAGAGGAATCCAATACAGAAATGCTTTATAGATTGAAGAAAATACCAACATCTGTTCCAAATCAGAACAGTATTAACTGGCTGAAAACTACAAGTGGCTCATGCCAGCTAATGCCTATGTCAACGAGGGTTTTCCAAGATATAGCATTTTTGTGGTTAGTTTCAAAGAGCTTTTTAAAATCCTTTATTCTGGACAATGTAAGCCATTTGAGACCTACAGAGGGAGTAAATTCGAATAGCCTGCAGTACACTGAAGAGCCAGTGTGAGGCAAAAGGTGTTGTGAATACGCTATTTATAATGAAAGTTAGTTTTAACATTCGGCTCCTTATTAAATAGAGTAAATTATAAGCATCTGAATTACAAGACTATAATGTCATGGGACACCAGTCCATGAGAACAGAATTACGGAAGTACACTTGTGAATTAGGCTGTGTCTTTCAGTGTACTCACTACACTGTACAAAATTAGCCAATCCTGGAGCAGTTTTTGCTTACAATTTATTTTGTTCGCCTGCCCTTTGGTGCACAATTCTCTCTCACTGTTTGCTACAGAAAATCTTGTCTCATCACAGCCAATATCATCTTGTTTCCTTCCTGTACTCAAAACATACTTTTAATCTCTTTACACTGGAAGATATACAAACTGAAAAATCTGAGGCAAAATGGGGCTTGGATTGTAAATAGCTTCACATTAGTTGTACTGCAATAGCACTTAGGGGCCCCTGTCAAATATCAGAGTCCACGTCTTCTAGTAATTGTGAACGCACAGAATAAAATGACCATCCCTGTCCCAAGTAGCTGACAATCTAAACGCTGGGGGTGAGAGTCTGTTCCACACCTCCAGAAGGGGGAGCAGATAAGGTGCAGCCCAGAGGAAGAGGACAAAAGCAGCTTTAATCCATCTTTGTTGTCATTCCAATTCTGGGCTGCTCCAGGGCTCAAAAAGCCCCTGGTGTAACTTAGGGCAGCTCTCTCTCTCATGTGCGTGGCCATGGTCCCCACTCTCTAGCACATCCCTCCCCCCCCCCGCCGCGCCCAGACAAGGTCCCAGTAAAGTCTGTGTGTCAGTTCAGTCTCGGATTTGCATTGCTTCTAGCCCAGGTGTAGGTGGTATGTTCAGAGGGAAGTGAGCATGGCCGGAGCTCAACTGTGCTCTGGTTATTCCTGGTTGGTGGAACATCTTCTTAAGGACTGTTGGCAGCCAACACAAATTAGAGACGTTCTGAGGCTGCTCTACATTATGCCAGGAACCAAATCAGCCCCAATATCAGGGTGAAGCATGAAAACCACTTTTCATGACTCCCACTCCTGTGCTGAACACAGCCTGGCCTGATCCAAGGACTGATGCCTGTACAAAGCTTTTCTAATCAATGGTATTAAGTAGCTCTTGTGATGAGAGAAATTCTCATAATGAATTGAGATTAACCAGTGTTTAGCATTCAGTATTAAAGAAAAACCGGACAGAATCTCAGATTTTTGAATTGCTTAATGTAGATACAATTATGTAACTGACTGCCACATTTCAGTTCATCTAAATATAATTGCTTCTAATTGAAAAATGTGTAATGTAGACAAGATCTTTTTTACAAAAAAAAAAAAAAGACTTATATGGGATATTATTTCCCTGAGAAGGAGAACTATGAGACTATTTGCTCATCAAAAACACAGAGCTCACTACTATAGGAAAGTGTCTGATAATTTTTTCAAAGATCAGTAAAGAAAAATTTTCCCCAAGAAAATGCACCAGAGACGTTCCCTTTCTTGATTTTTTTGATACATGATGCATTTTTTTTTGGTTTCTTCTAGATATAGGAAATGAATCTGGAAATTAAATCTTATTCTGATGTTTAAATTAAATACTGGTGTGAAAGCCCACAGTCACCTTCTTAAACTACGTGAACACTGTGCAGGATTCAGGAAAACAGCCTGGCAGGCAAAACTTATATTACTATTGCCACCTCCTAGTATTTGCTTCCCTTGCAGAGGAGAGACCAGCCTATATGTGCAGACTTAGGACCTGATCCTGCAAATATGCACATGGCTTAATTTTAAACACCTGAGAAGTTTCATTGACTTCAGTGGGACCAAATGCATGCTTAAAAACATACATAAATGTTTGTATGACCCAGGGTATGTGTAGCAGTGCGGGACTCACCCCTGCAGCGCCTCCTGCTGGTCTCTGTTGGGAATTAGCTCTGCCAACCTTGGAGCGCCCTCTGCAGACTGGTGATCCGCCTTGCCGCTGGCCCCGTGTCCCTCCCAGGACCCCGGTGCCCCTTTTCTGTGGGTGCTGCCTCCTGGCAGGAACCCCTTTCTCCCAGGGTCTTCCCTCTCTGGGGAACCCCAACCCTCTAATCCCCACCTTGCCTCAGTCATGGGCTACTGCCGGTCATCATCTAGCCCCCGCTCACTGGGGCAGACTGCAGTCTGTAATGGCCACTCATAGGCAAGGTTGGGTTTGGACCTGCTGCCTTTGCCTACCCCTGGGCTGCCCTCTGCAACCCCCAGTACCCATTGGCCTTCTGCTAGGCCGCAGCCTGGGGCTTTCCAGGCTGGAGCTCCCCCAGCTCCTCTGCCTTTCCCCAGCCCTGCTCCACTCAGGTACTCTGCTCGGGTCCTTGCAGCCAGATCCATCTCCCCCTACAGCTAGAGCGAGACTACTGAGCTCCTGGCTCCCAGCCTCTTATATAGGGCCAGCTGAGGCCTGATTGGTGCGTGGCCCAGCTGCAGCTACTTCCCCAATCAGCCTAGTAGCTTTTCCTTTGCCCCAG